AAAACATGGTCGGCCACCCCAAATCGCTGCAGCATCGTCCCAGCACCCCAAAATCAGTTCTGTCTCCACACATGACCTCCACAGGATTCTCGCACCCCAAAATTCTCCCGCGCACCTTTTAAACACACCAGCACCCCAAAAATCATCTCTGCGCCCCAAAACCACTCCAACACCCTCCTAGCACCTCATCATGCTCCGGGTACCCCAAAACTGCTCCCGCACAACCAAAACCACGGATGTACCCCAAAACCTCTCGTGCAACCCAACACGACCCCCAGAGGTCCCTTGCACCCCAAAAGCACCCCTGCACCCGAAAATCCTGTCTGCACCCCAAAATCACCCAGACAGTACATTAGCACCCCAAAATCAACGATGCACCCCAAAATTCCACCCGCACCCCCAAAATCTAGGGTGCACCCCAAAACCATCCCAGGGTCACAGCAGCACCCCAAAAATTCATGGTGAACCCCAAAAATCTCCTCAGCATTCCCGTATGATCCCAACTTGACCCCGAACCCCAAAACCTCCCCCGCACCACAACACGACCCCAAGGTGACCCCTGCACCCCAAAACCTCACCTGCACCCCAAAACCTCCCCTGCACCCCAAAACCTCCCCTGCACCCCAAAACCTCACCTGCACCCCAAAACCACGCCAAAAACACAACTGCACCCCGAAAACTCATGGTGAACCCCAAAATCCCCCGAGCTTCGAAACAGGACCCCAAGATGACGCCGAACCCCAAAAACTTCCTCTGCACCCCAAAATCTTCTCTGCACCCCAAAACCACCGAAGTAACCCAACAGCACCCCAAAATTCCCGGTGCACCCCAACATCTTTCTCAGACCCCCACATGACCCCACCGTGACCCCGAACCCCAAAATCGACCCCTCACCCCGTCATGACCCCAACTTGACCCCGAACCCCAAACCCCCCCCCAACCTGACCCCGCCGTGACCTCGTCTGTCCCCCCGCGCTCCAGGCCGCGCGTGACCCCCGACCCCGCCTGGCGGTGACCCCCGACCCCGCCTGGCCGCCTCTGTCCGTCCGTCCGTCCGTCCGTCCGTGGCTCTCACCGTGCGCGGGACTCAGCCGCCTCCTCGGCCGGCCGTGACGCGCTTCCGTTTCCGGCCTGCGCGCGGGACGCGCCTCAACCAACCAGGGCCGGCCACGTCCCGTCGGGCCACGCCCCCTCGCCTGGTTCCCCTGGCAACGCCAATCAGAGCCGTGTAGGCCCTTCCTGTGCTGACCAGGCCACGCCCCCTCCCATGGTTGCCCTGGCAACGCCAATCAGCGCTCTAGTTCCCCTTTTATGCGTATCCAGGCCACGCCCCTTCCCCTGGTTACCGTGGCAACGCCAATCAGAGCCCTCTGGGCGCCTGCAATCCCGCCCAGGCCACGCCCCTTGCTTGGTTGCCCTGGCAACGCCAATCAGAGGCCTCTAGGCCCTTGCAGTCCCGTCCAGGCCACGCCCCTGTGCTCGTTGCCCTGGCAACCCCCCCCCCCATCTCCCAGGGCGAGTCACTGCGCAGGCGCGCTCTGCCCGCGCGGCCTACCTCCTCCGCCGAAGCCCCCTGCAGTCCCCCAGGCGGGACTTCCGGTCCGGCGAGGAGGCACCCCCGCGCATGCGCACAACCCGAGGCTGTTACTCCTGGCTGCCCCCGGGCCCCGGAGGCGGGACTTCCGCGCAGGGCTGATCTCACCCCGCGCATGCGCACACGCCCTCATTCTCCCCCCCCCCCCCCACCAGCTCCCAGAATCCCATTTTCCCGCTCCATTACCGCCGCGCTGTTTCCAGGTCGTCGCTTCCCGCGGAGGGCGGGACTTCCGGTGGGTCTCGCTCGCCTGTGTGCGCGTGCGCGAGTCCCCGCGGTCACTCAGCGGCTGTACTTCCGTCTGTCTTTGTGGCCCGCCCTGTATGGGCAGCACTTCCGGTTTTGCTTCAATTTTTAATCTGCGCATGCGCGGAACTCACTGGACACCAGCCACTTCCGGCGTGGGTTTACCTCCCAGAAGGGACTTCCGGGACGGCACCGTGGCTCCCCGCGGTTGGGGAAGTCGAGGCTGGCGCTGGGGGAATCGCGGTGGGAATGGGCAAGGCTCTCCGCGAGTCCTGTATCGCTTAGGGTGAGCTGCGGATACCCGAGGACACCGGGGCTGCGCCGCGGTGGGCGTGGCTATGCAAATCGACCCTCCCCAGGCCTAGCTGGGGGCCCACCCAGTCAGGACCGTGAGGGGCGTGGCCTGCAGCAGTGCGCGTCTGGGCGTTTGTGGGCGTGGCTTGCGAGGGAGGGTAGGCAGCCTGAGTGGGCGTGGCTTTCCCAGGGCAGCGCGTCTGCTCATTGGCTCATGAAGGGCAGAGGGCGGGACTTTCACTCCTAAGTGTCCTATGGCGTGTCAATGTTCAGTGAAATCTGCGCCTGCGCATAATTGTCTTAATCTCACCTTTTCCTGCTTGGGAGGGACTTCCGGGAGAGCCCAATAGCTTTTTGCATTTGGGGAAACTGAGGCAGGGAGCGGTAATCGTCTGGTGCGAATGTACAAGGCTCACAGTGACTCCTGTATCGCTTATGGTGACCAGGCGTCCGTGGAGTGGGCGTGGTTATGCAAATCAATCCACTGAGGACTGGGCTGGGGGGCGGCGCTGTGGGCTCATCCAATAGGAAGAACGAGCGTGGGAGGACCTGCGCGTCTAGGCCTTTGTGGGCGTGGCTTGCAGGGGAGCGTACGCTACGCGTGTGGGCGTGGCCTCGCTGTGCGTGTGGGCGTGGCTTCCTCCCGCAGTGCGGCTCTTCCTGACTCCTATGTGGCTCATGGTGAGTTCCAGCTGGCAGAATGGGCGTGGTTATGCAAATTATTTAGTCTGGGCTTCGTGAAGGAGGAACTGCGGGCTCACCCAATGGGCAAAACGAGGGGCGTGGCTCGCAGAGCCTGCATGGGCGTGGCTTTCCAGAGGACCCTGGCTCTCCCTGACTCCTATATCGCTCATGGTGAGTTGCAGCTGGCTGACTGGGCGTGGTTATGCAAATTACTTAGTATAGCTTTGCTGTGAGCACGCCCAATGGCTATAACGAGGGGCGTGGCGTGCAGACCCTGCCTGACACTTTAGGGGCGTCGTTATGCAAATTATTTAGTCTGCCGTTGGTTGAACGACGAGCTGGGAGCTCACCCAATGGGCAAAACGAGGGGCGTGGCTTTGCAGACCATGCATGGGCGTGGCTTTCCAGAGCACCCTGGCTCTCCCTGACTCCTACATCGCTCATGGTGAGTTCCAGCTGGCTGACTGAGCGTATTTATGCAAATTACTTGCTCTAGCTTTGTGCGAGCACACCTAATGGGTAAAGTGAGGGGCGTGGCTTGCAGACACTCGCTGAGCCTTTATGGGCGTGGCTTAGAAGGGAGCGTATGCCCCACGTGTGGGCGTGGCTTCCCAGAGTCCCCTGGCTCTCCATGACTCCTATATCGCTCATGGTGAGTTCCAGCCGACAGAGTGGGCGTGGCTATGCAAATCGACCCTCCCAGAGCTGGCTAGGGGCGGAGTTGGAGGCCCACGCCGCCGCCAGGCCGAGGGGGCGTGGCTTGCCGAGCGTGCCTGGGCCGTTGTGGGCGTGGCCTGCAGGGCCGCGCGCGCTGTGCGTGTGGGCGTGGCCTCGCGGGGCAGCGCGGCTGCTCATTCGCCCGTGCCGGGCGCGGGGCGGGACTTCGGCCCTCGGGCGGCCTGTGGCGTGCGTGGGGGGGGCGCGGCGGCGCGGGCGTGCGTCGGGGGGCGTGGCGGGCGCGGGGGGCGTGGCCCGCGGCCTGCGGCGGGCGTCATGGCGCTGCTGCCGGCGCTGCGTCGCCTGCGCGCGCAGCGCGTCGTCCTGGCCTCGGCCTCCCCGCGCCGGCGCGACATCCTCACCCAGGCGGTGCGTGCGTGCGTGCGTGCGTGCGTGCGTGCGTGGGGTCGGGGGTCGGGGGCTCAGGTCGCGGGTCTGGGGCCCTGGATTGGGGTCAGGGGTCAGGCGATCGGGGGCTGGGCCTTGGATTGGGGGCCTGGGGTTGGGGTCAGGGGTCAGGGGTCAGGGGTCAGGGTCTGAGATTGGACTGTGGGACCTGGGGTTGGGGTCAGGGGTCAGAGGTCATGGACGGAGATGGGGGTCTGGGCCCTGGATTTGGGCCTTGGGTTGGGGTCATGGGTTAGAGGTCAGGTGCTTGGGTTGGGGTCAGGGGTCAGAGGTCAGGTGCGTGGATTGGGGTCAGGGGTCAGAGGTCAGGTGCTAGGCTTGTGGTCAGGGGTCAGAGGTCAGGTGCTTGGACTGGGGTCAGGGGTCAGAGGTCAGATGCATGTATTGGGGTCAGGGGTAAAGTGCTTGGGTTGGGGTCAGGGGTCAGAGGTCAGGTGCTTGGATTGGGGTCAGGGGTCAGAGGTCAGGTGCTTGGCTTGGGGTCAGGGGTCAGAGGTCAGGTGCTTGGACTGGGGTCAGGGGTCAGGCGAACTGGGTCTGGGCCTTGGATTTGGGGCCATGGGTTGGGGTCAGGGGTCAAGGGGTCACGGGGTCAAGATCTGGTAGGTGGGATTGGGGTCAGAGGTCAGGGATAGACATGGGGGTCTCTGGGACCTTGGGTTGGGGTCAGGGGTCTGGGTCTAGGCCTAGAATTGGGGTCAGGGGTCAGAGGTCAGGGCCGGAGATTGGACTCTGAGGCCTGGGGTTGGGGTCAGGGGTCAGAGGTCAGGGCCAGAGATTGGATTCTGGGGCCCTGAGTAGGGGTCAGGGGTCAGAGGTCAGGGACTGAGATTGGGGTCAGGGGTCTGGGTCTAGGCCTGGGATTGGAGTCAGGGGTCAGGGGTCGAGGTCTAGGCCTTGCATTTGGGTCTTGAATGAGGGTCAGGGGTCAGGGGTCTGGGTCAAGGCCTTGGATTCAGGGCCTGGGATTGGGGTCAGATGTCTAGGCCTTGGATTGGGGTCAGGGGTCAGGGTCTACACCTTGGATTTGGGGCCTTGGATAAGGGTCAGGGGTCAG